GGTTCTCCGAACTACTCAAAATTTCCACTACCGGTTCTCCGAACTGCTCAAAATTTCTGCTATCAGTTCTCCAGAACCTGTCACAACCTGCTGGATTTCACCCCTGGTGTGGGGGGGAAAAGCAAACCCAAGCCAGCAACTGAAAAGATTGTGGGGGAAAGGAGCTGTTCACATTTAGTATGATATGCAGAATTAGGAAATGAACAGAGTGGAAGAGCTGTGAAGTTTGGCTTCTTTCCCTTAGGTTGCATGATTAAAACCCGGCAAAATTACAGACAGACACAGATGAATGAATGAAGCAATTCTTCTGAGTCACTGCAGTGTTATAATGTTAAAATGATCAGCATATGTCAGGTAGAGTTCTTGAGCTTTAAGTGGAAACAAGATTTCTTCCATTATTGGAATTTCATCCTGTCAAACGTGTATATGCAGAGGCCATCCTTTCTGTGACATTTCATATTTGTGAAATACTGTTGGCAAATCCCCTGTTAATATCCAGCCAGCTATTGTACCCAGACAAGTTACAAGTCTCTGCTTTTAATTCATGAATTTTGAAAGTGTATAAACATTACGGTTTTAGTAAAGAAAACCTTTACCTGGAAACCCTTTACACATATAGTATAAATAAATCTCCTTCTCACCCCTATGGGTGGTATATGTCTTCCTCATTCTTTGGACTTCTACTTGGCAGTTTGAAGGGTTGAAGGTTCTGTGCAGCATCTTAGCTGTTCCTGGCACTCCACTCTTTTGGACAGAAAGCTTGTGACTGAAGGACGCTATGAAAATGATATATACCGTATTTTTCAGAGTATAAGACGCACCTTAGTTTTAGGGGAGGAAAATAAGAAAAAAGCTGATTGGTGGGTGGACTGGTCTCCTGGAATACCCTCAATCAGCTGTTTCCAGAGGTGAATTTTAGCAACAGGCTTGTTGGTTGTAAGCTCTGTGCCTTGCTTTTTTTTCTGCCTCTGAAATTTCTGAAACTCTGTTTCAGAAAAAAAAAAAAAATTCTGCTTCTGAAAGCCTCTGAAACAGAGCTTCAGAAAAAAAGGCATTTTTTCTGAAGCTTCTTTCAGAGGCTTTTTTTCTGAAGCTTCTTTCAGAGGCTTTTATTCCGAAGGACTATCTGTACTCTGTTCAAACTCCTTTCATTGGTATTGGTATGTAGATTAACCTCTTCCGATCTGTTGGTTATTGTGTCATTCTCCAGATTTGTTAACATAGTTTGGTTAGAACCTTTACTGATTCTTCTTTTGCTGCTTGCCATATTATTCTAGATAAAAGCCTTTCAGAGGCTTTTTTTCTGAAGCTTCTTTCAGAGGCTTCTTTCAGCCTCTGAAATTCCATTTGCGAGGCTGGGCTGGGCTATATTCGGAGTATAAGATGCACCCAGATTTTCACTCTCTTTTTTGGGGAAAAAAGGTGCGTCTTATACTCTGAAAAATACGGTGTGTGTGTGTGTGTGTGTGTGTGTTCGCGCGCGTGCTCTGGTTGTAAAATACCCAAATTGCGATCCCTGACTGTGGGACACTGCAACAGTCATAAATTTGAAGACTGGTTGTAAAGTTACTTTTTCATGATAGTTGTAACAACAAAAGACCATAAAATAGAGCAGTCATTAACTGGAGACTATTTATATCAGTCTTGGCAATACTATACCTGAGTGGGCAATTCTGAGAGTTGGCCATATTTGTGTTGTAAAGTGCCCACAATCAGCTGGTGAGATGGGCAGGGTAGAAATTTAATAAATAAATAAATAATAAAAATAATCATCCAAGTTAAGGAAGGTAGTCTTATTGGAATTACTTGCTATTATGCTGTTAAAAGTTTGCTTTAAGTCACTCTTACTATTCCTGAACCACCTTCTTCTTGACTGTATTCGTGGGATCCTATATATTCTAACTGGTATTTCTTAAGTTTTTTGAAATCAAATTTCCTAATGTCCAAGATGCACACTTGACTAGATTCTATTAGATATCCTTTGGGTTTACTTAATAGAAAAGGTCCTGTATATTCAAGATATTATAGACCAGGACTTCAGACTGCTCTGATATTCACCTGCTCACAAACAACACCTATTAGGTTTTTAGTCAACTAATAGTGTTAGCATTGACCAAATGTTTAGAAATGGCTATCTCTTACTCATAAAACCTGATAGTCAGTGAGCAGGGAATAATGTAGACATTCAGAGCACTCAAAAGAACCTACATTTCATGCATACAATTCAGACAGAGCACTGAGAAATATAATTTATATTTTTTCTCTCTGAAATCAAATTTCAGTTGAACAGGGGTATTTCCAGAATCATTTCCATAATAATGTTCTATTTTACATGTGGAGCATTCTCAAACTGTCCCTGAAGGATTCTCAAATTGAACGAATGCTTCAAATAAGTTGAGAAGAGAAAAAAGGAGAAGAAAAGAAAAGAGGCAGGCCATGCCCAATCAATGCCATTTAGAGCCAGCTCAAGTAATGAAATAAATCTCTAATGAAATAAGTTGTTAGTAGAGATTGATGTAGACAATTTTATTAGAAGAGAAATATAGGCAGAAAACTTGTACAAATGGAGGAAAACTCCAGCAGGAAGATTAGTATTCTGAAAGGTTAAAGCAAGTGTGAGTCAACAACAATTACGTCCAGATGTTCTACCTTCAGGCAATTCTTTTCTTATGAACTTGGCTGGACAGAAGCCCCTGAAGATTTTCTATGGAATTGTTCACAGATGTAAGCTATGCCTTGGGATACATCTGGGATTTGGAGAGAGCTTAGACTGAGTCTTACTCACAAGAAATCTTTGGAAAAGCACCAAATATTCTTTTAAACTTTCAGATTTCAGACAGAATAGATTGGCTGCTTTAGAAAAAGTTGTCCACCATTACTGCTTTCACCAAGGAACTCCTGGTACATAATTCAAAATGCAATGCAGATCCTTACGAGAACAGTTTTAAAGGGCTGCTATTTGTCAAGTCAGAGCAGAAATAACATTTTAGATTGGGTAAATTTGGTGAGGTTCCAAAAGACTTATTTTCACAACGATTTCTAATAAAAAGTATGCCTAGATGAAGATTTGTTATGGTTTTGTTGAATTCTAAGATGTGATTATTCTAGCCACACTGTCCATAATATATAGTACAATACACTGTGTAGTGTGATTTGGTGTGGTGTTGTGTGATGTAGCATATCGTATCGTATCGTATCGTATCGTATCGTAGCATAGCATAGCATAGCATAGCATAGCATAGCATAGCATAGCATAGCATAGCATAGCATAGCACAGCATAGTTCAATGTAAGCTTTTCTCTAGAGGTCAAAGAGTATATAAGGAATATCTCTTCATTTTATCATGATAACAATACTGTAGGACAGTGTTTCTCAATCTTGGCCACTTGAACATGTGGGACTTCAGATCCAGAATTCCTGGCCCTCCATCCACATATCCTCAGGTCACCAAGGTTGAGAGACACTCTTTTAAGGTATGAAATAATCAGGCTTAGAGCAGTGATTAGCCCAAAGCCCCCAATGAATTTCTATAGCTGAAGATGGACATATACCAGGGTTTTCTTGGAGTTAATACAATATGTTAACTCTGACACCACACAGTTATTAAAAATGTCAAATTAAAGTTCCAAACATTCTACAAGTAACAACACTCTATATACATCTAAATACATTCACATATCAGGGTATTCCCTTTCAGGGTAAGGAATACTTTGTAAGCTAAAGAAGTAAGCAACAGCAAGCTAAATAAATTCAAGACATGAGATAAAAGAAGAAAACATACTTAAATCTAGTTATTATCTATATAATTCACAGAAGTTCTCAGTATCTTGAAAACAATCCTTTCTTCCACTAAGTCCATTCATTATGTCATATATAGTTTTTCGTTCTTTAAACTTCTCACTTCTCTCTTTTTATGGATTTCCTCAACTATCAAATCATGATTTTCTCAGTCTTCTTCTTCTTCTCAGCCCATTAACTGTTCTCTTTATATCTATTTTATAATTTAATCTTCATTCATTTTCTGCAAGGTACTTTGTTCATACTGATTACTTATTTTTATATTCAACTTATATTCATTCAGCTCCCACTCATTCTTGACCTAACTCTTCTTGTCCTATCACATATACTTTCTGAATATCCTATTCCTACTGTATTGACTTTACTCATCCAATTCCCCCTTTGATATAAAAAAAATGGGCTGAAAGCATTTACTTTTAACAAATGTTCATTCCCACAACTGATGACATATATCTAACTACTTTCCCCCAGTATTTGCATGTCTTAAATTTCTCCATCTGCCTTCCCATCTTTAATAACAGTCTATGAAGGTCTGAAAATATCTAATAGACATAATATTCATTTAGCCAGACATATGGCACCATTTGTGTTCAACATATATTTATGATCAACATCCTTCTAACATCATAAAAAATGTTCCTAATACATTCATTCATTCATGCATGCATGCATACATTCATTAAACACCCAAGAGGACATCAAACATCCTAATTTTATTTCTTGCTCAATGTTGGACCATTCACTAAGCATTTAACTTATTCTGATACTTTTTTTTTTTTACTTCTATAACATTTCTGTCTTATTTATTTAGCAGCAAAACAGTGCAAAACATTCCATAATTCAAGCCATTCATTTTATCACATGCTTTTTTTTTTTAATATGCATTCATTCATTCACTCATTTATTAATTCATTCACGTAAACATAACTACAGGCAAAGTTTCTAAAACAACAGAACCCAAATTCTTTTAAAGCACTCTGAAGAAGAATGTTTTATGGTGCATATGAAGAACTTGAAGGGTCATAGGAAAGCAGATCTCAGAAGTGAACTCATGCCACAAAAAAAAAGGAAAAAAAAGAAAAAAGAAAAAAAGAAAAAAGAAAAAAAGGAGAAAGAATGAAAGAAATTCTTGTAAGAGTTCCCACAAACCATTTCAAAGGACACTCGAAGCAAAACATTCATAATGATAAAGAAATACATACTCTGGTTTGCTCCAGGGAGCCAGTAGGCCAATCTTCCGCCCATCACCGGGTATTCAGCTGTAAATTTTAGCAGGCCAAAACTCAGGTGAGAGTTTGAGAAAATAGAGATGTGATTTTCTTTAATAGGTAATGTATTTTTTTAAAAAAATAATTAATGGTTCACTGGATACTACTTTAGAAGCTTCTAAACAGTATTAGCCTGTTAAGTTGTCAAAATGCTAGTGGATGAAAAGTGTGAGAAATAAAGCAACATGCAGTGGATAGATGCATCAACCCTAATCCAACACATATATTTTAGGATGCTCCTAACCACTAGTCCATAAATTCTGATCATTTCCTTACTTCAAACCATGGTTTGTTTTAGTTGAGATTCTAACTGAACCAGTTCAAGAAACTAGCGTATATAAGCAGCAGAATTGAAGGTAGGTTAGAAATGAGTCCCCCCATTTCCACAATTATTGCTTTCAAGATTATTATTCAGAGATTGGCAGAATATAAAATTGTTGTTTTCCCAATGTCGGTTGTGATCTCCCGGGAAGGATTCTAGTGGCTTATCTTATTTGTAGCTGTCAGTTCAACTACACCAGATTCATATCTATATATGTATTTTTAAAATATGATAATACTTTTATATAATAAAACTATGTGACAGATGAAGAGAAAATCAATAAAATTCAGGTGGTGTCAATCCATTTATTATAGTATGATTGGGTACAATATTAAACTGTTATAGTTATTAAACAGTACTGAATATTTATTAAGCAGAATCTTAGGACAATGACATGATACTAAATGTTTATATAGATACAGGGAGTGGCGAAACTTTAAAGGATACTAAAGTGATTTAAACTGATACTAAATGTTTATATCTGTATCTATATTTTTAGGTAAAGGTTCCCCTCGCACATATGTGCTAATCGTTCCCAACTCTAGGGGGCAGTGCTCATCTCCATTTCAAAGCCAAAGAGCCAGTGCTGTCCAAAGACATCTCCATGGTCATGTGGCCGGCATGACTAAATGTCAAAGGTGCACGGAACGCTGTTACCTTCCCACCAAAGGTGGTCCCTATTTTTCTACTTGCATTTTTTACGTGCCTTTGAACTGCTAGGTTGGCAGAAGCTGGGACAAGTAACGGGAGCTCACCCCGTTACATGGCACTAGGAATTCTAACTGCTGAACTTTCGATTGACAAGTTCAGTGTCTTAGTCACTGAGCCACCGCGTCCCTATCTATATTTTTATCCATAGTTATATCAACAGTTCCTTGAGGAGGTGGTAACTATTGTTCAGAAAAGAAGGGGACCAGATAAATGTTGAGGAAAGAGGAGCAGATAAATTAATATATAGGAAGCACATCGATAGCACCACTTTTAGAGTGCAATTCCATTTATTAATTGTTTTTCATTACACACTTATTGTCTCAGCAATTTCCTTAACATCAGCTTCATTACTTGGGAAGGCAGCAATCCATAGCCAATTTTCTTTTCATGTTGTGCTTGTTCACATATAAATGCAGACCTTTTGTTCAAAATAGTTGCAATTAATAATTTCAAACAAAAGAAATGCAAAATCCTTTCACTCAAAGCCATTTATAATCCACTAAAATGAATTGAAATTCCCATCTTGAGCCTAACCTAATTTTTTTACTGATAATAGGAATGGATTCCCAAAAGCACTCCATGCATCTTGATAGTAACATCCTAATTTTCTTTCCTGGTAAATGTTTTAAATAAGATTTTAGCACCCAAGGAAATTAACCTTTAAATTAATTGCTCTTATAAAATGCCACCTCTGCTTTTGTCTTCAGCCTAATTACTTGCTAAAATTTAAACCAGCCTTAGTAGGTGGTTTTACTAGCTATCTTTTCAGCTTAGATTACTTCCAGATACAGGGAGTGTATCTGCTTCTATTTGTGATAACATTATAATGATTTTGTTCTGCCTCTACAAGGCCTGAGCTTTTAAAAACCTTACGATACGCCAATCTGGGATTGATACAATTCAGAGCGCAATGGGAAAACTGTTACTAACTCCATAAACATTTCTGACTTTTTGTTGGGAAGATTCTTAAACACAGATAATCCACATGATTGTTGTACACTGTACTGGTGTCATCATCCATAATTAGCTGAATTGTTCACTGCATCTCTGCTAAACAAACAGGATAATATTTTAATGTGCAACTGAATAATTCAGTATATTTTGTTTTTAAAATAAAGAAAATGAGCTGAAGGAAACTATGGAAAATGGCTGAAATGGGAGGGTTTAAGCCACAGTTATTTAATTTTGAGTTTAATTTTCTGAGAAAGGCAGCTTCCCATGTCAACTTTTCATTAAAGACAGTATCTTGAGCCAATTGCCCACATATATCTAGTGCAACATTATTTCTGCCCTTACAGTTCAAGTCGTATAAAACCATCAGCACAAAGGTCTGGGGTTAAGTGCCACTTGTACATACACAATGTCTGAGATTCACGACGTTACTATGTAGTGCATTGCTATGCCTGGAGGAATAATTTTTCTTTGAACATCATCTCATGCCAAATTACTCATTTCTCTTTCAACATTTCTGGTCTGAAGCCACTCTAACAAGCTCTTTCTTTGAAAAATATTCTCATTCTCAGCCTCTTTTAATGCCTAGAAGTTGTTAAGAAGTTCTTAAGTTCATGGGCCTTGCAAAACAAATCAGACTGTACCTTGGGCCAACCTAGGGGTCCCAAGGACTGCCTCTGCCCCACATTCTGTACCAGTTGTAGCTTCTGAATATTTTTCACAGGCAGCCCCATGTAGAGTGCATTGCAATAATCCAGGCATAAAATGGCCAGAGCTTGAATGACTGAGTGCAAAGATTCCTGATTCAGGAAAGGTTGCAACTGGCACACACGTGAAATTGTGAAAATATTCTCCTTGTCACAACTGCCACCTGCTCTTCCAGAAGTTGTGAGTCCAGGAGAACCCCCAAGTTCTGCACCAGTTCTATCTGTAGTAGGCCCAGATCTCGAAGCTCCATGCACCCAAAGCCATTTAGTCTTGTCAGGGTTCAGTTGAAGCCTATTGTCTCCTATCTCGATCCCCACAGTCTCCAGGAACCATGAGAGAGCAGTGACAGCATCACATGGGTTGGAGATCCACGGCAGGGGTGAAATGCTACCGGTTTGCGCCAGTTCGGGTGAACCGGTAGCGGCGGGTGGTTCGGAGAACCAGTAATGGTGGCAGAGTGAGGCTCTGCCCACCCGCCCGGATGTCGTTACTTCCTGGTTTTAACCAGGAAGTAACCTGTTTTTTATCCTCTGTGCATGCACAGAAGGTTTTGCACATGCACAGAGGGTCCAAAATTGCATGTGATGCACGCGCACACTTCTGAACCGGTAGGGAAGGTAAGTAGATCTCACCCCTGATCCACATACTGATGATACTTCAACTCCTGGTGATTTCACCCAGCTGTAGATGTTAAAAAGGAGTGGAGAGAGTACCAAGCCCTATGGCATGCCACAAAGGAATGGCTGTGAGCTGGATCTCTCAATCTCTATCAACATTGATTGGCACTGGCTTTGGGGAAAGGAACAAACCAGAGCAAGACTGCACTGTCCTGCCCTATACCCTGTAACTGGCCAAAAACATATCATGGTTGATGGTATCAAAGGCCACTGAGAGATCAAGGAGACCAAGGATGGGTCCTATCCTGCTTTTACCAGAGATCAAGTCAATTATTGTTATTTCTGTCTCAGAACTGGGTCTGAATTCTGACTGGAAGGGGTCAAGACAATCAATTTTATCCAAGACTCTCTGAAGCTGCCAAGCAACATTTTTTAACCAAATGGGAAGGTGGGAAACTGGAGAAATGTTGTCCAGGTGGATGGGATCAAGATATTTTTTTTTCAGGTGACATCTACAGGTTTTTTTTAATGTGACATATCTAAGGAGGCTATGCTAATTTAAAAAATGGTAGGAATACTTAAGTAAATGTTATTAGATGATTGTGATAACTCTGACAGATACTTGCACTGATATGAGAATTTGAAATATGCTGTGAATAGTGATTGTCAATTTCAACAAATCTTGGTTCAGTGCTTTTATGTAATATTCAACCTCTCAGCAACTATGTTAATTTGAAAGCTCCTAATCACCAAATGTGTGGATAGCTGATTCTGCATACATATTTATCTTTTGCAATGTTTGATTTCTACTCTTATCTAGCGTTCAAGCTCATTGTCTCTGATTTTTTCCATACTCAAACCTCTCTCATATTTGTTGAAGAACAATTCTTTAAGACTCCATGAGACAATTCCAGTCAGCTTTGCTGTGTGCATATTTGCTTCCTGCTCAACTGTTTGTCAAAATAAACTTTATTCCAACAGAACATATGTAACTCAGAGTTGAACTGTGGAGTCATTGTTGCTCTCTGAGCTTGTTTTTTTGCTTGCAAACATTGCATTACCAATTAGGCAACATCATCAGGGCAACTGAATTTGGAGTTTGCTCTCAGTTTATAGTAGGCTGCCCTGCTATAGATTACTCGTTGCCCTAGTCTAGTGTGTGTTTTCTCCTTAGTTTACGGCCCTTTGTTGGTCCTGAACTTTTGATTAAAGAGGCAATCTGGATCTATCTATATGGATATCTAGGGGCTGGCCTAACAGAATTGTAGTTGGCTGAAGTACTGGTAGATGATAGAGTGATACGTTTGTCATCATTTTGTACTGTTTGTGTGGTGATCTCTATGTCTGTACTGGGCTATGCCTTCATTATCCTATACTCACTGGTTCTTTTTCTATGCTGGGTGCAAACAGATGTCATTGCTAACACACTTTCTGATTGAAAGGATTTGTCTTCGGTCCAAGATTCTCTCATGATCACAGTATTTCTGTGTTTTCTGGTAGTATGTTTCTTCTTTCCCTCTCAGAGTTGTAAGCATGCTTTCAAAAAGATGACTATTTCGCAACTGTTTATTTTCAGCTTCTATGACATGTATGTTTAAGATTGTTCTGTTAATTGATTTTTCTCACGTTTCTTATTAAAGACTTGTTAAACTTCTGAGAAACCTATTCATATGTGAGCAATT